AACATGAAAAAACGTTTTTTTTTTTTTGGTGAATTACTGTAATTGTTTACTAAAAATATGTATGTACTGTACAGACTTAGGGGAAGTATTGTCTAAGGCGAGACATTGTCAAAATATATTCAGTCAGTTTGCCCACTAGGCATTTACGAAAGCCCTCTAAACATTAATCTAAAATTATTGGACTTCGTTTTGTATCGCGAGGTAAATTTGCAGACAGCCCTAAATCAGCCGGGGCGAAATATGCAGCGAATATAAAACCTAAAACTAACTTTACCGCGCTCTGAAAGCACACAGAGTGATTTGGAACTGGAACTACTGCATAGCTGCGCGTTTACTTAAAACATATTGCACACCTCAGAATGTTCGTCAGCTAATCAGAATCAAGCTTTCAACAGACCCTGTGCTAGCCTATATATTTAAGCATATTTAAAAGACTAAATAACAACATGCATATTTATTTGCAACAACTGTATTAAGAGATTCCTGTTGTGAGAGCAGCTAATGGGGTGAGGGATACCACGCGTTGTAATGGTATATTCCAGATATTAGTATAAATAATGAGGGATTGACGTTTGCTGTGTCTCAATGCGACCTCTAGAGGCGCAGCCTTCAAAATGAGACCCATGCGTTGGCTTTCATGGCTTCCTTCAAACGGACACATTAGGAGATACAATTGCTCTGCTCCCTATGAAGATCCCAAGGGCTCTACCCTTCAGAGTGAGCAGGTGTAGCGACTTTCACTTCTGACTGGAGTTGATCCTCCGCTGGATGATGGTCCTTCAGGAGCAGGATTGGACGCACCTGATGAAAAGTGTTTCAGATTAAATCATATCTATGCCCTACAGCTGTCTGCAACTATCACGCACTAATTAATTCATAACATTAATTAATTGTCATGCAATAATTAATTTATAAAATTAATACTTCAATAATAGTAAAGTCTAATTAAAGTCAGAATGTAGGCTACATAATGTGTAACCATGGTAACTGTATTTTAGACGTGAAGTCACCTGCAGGACAACTGCAAAGTGACGAGTCTCTCTCCCTAGCTTACCATGCACTTTCACACTCTAAACACTTTAAAAGTTTTTATTTGTATTTTGTTATTTTTGATGTCCCTTACAGATACTTAAAAGCATCTAAACTGAATGTAGGCTACATAATGTGTAACCATGGTAACTGTATTTTAGACGTGAAGTCACCTGCAGGACAACTGCAAAGTGACGAGTCTCTCTCCCTAGTTTACCATGCACTTTCACACTCTAAACACTTTAAACGTTTTTATTTATATATTTTTTTATTTTTGATGTCCCTTACAGATACTTAAAAGCATCTAAACTTGAATGTCACTAAATTCTTTTTTCGTGGGGAAAAAAAAAATCTTTATAACGAACACAAGGGGGTAGCAGTGTCAAGTTAATAAAATGTAGTCTTGCATTTTCTGGAATATTTGTTGTTACTGTATTTAAAAGTTACTTTTATTTACGTGTTCATTTAAATCAACATTGAAATAAAGTCCCCTCCCCAATTGTCTTTAATTTTTAATCCATTTATTTTAGTCAGTTTTCTTGATTTGATAGTTAAATGTCTATTTACTTGACTTTTTTATACCTGTGTAAAAGGTATATAGCCTATACCTGTGTAAAAACATTTTCCTTTAAGTTTTTTTCTTTTTCTTTTTTATTATGCTTCCATTTACAACAAACAAACAAGGTACATAAACACATCACATAATCTAACAACACGTGAACAGCCTTAGGTTGAGCATAACCAGTGACAAACAAGATCACAATAAACCAATAATAAAGAAGAAAAGAAAAGAAAAGAAAAGAAAGAAAGAAATAGAACAAATAAAACAAACCAAAGGGGGCTTTTTACATTAGTTTATACATGCCCCAAAAACGAAATCAATTTGAGAGCTTTCTTGTTTTTAACCAATTCTAAAGATTTGCACAACATTTTAACCTCATTCACCCACTGGTTAAAGTAGGCCTACCCGTGTACAAATTGTGTCTATTAGATGAACTCTGTAAATGTGCACATACTGGTCATTTGTGATCGAAAGAGGGCGCTAAGGGCACAGGACGCAGAGTTGTTTCTTTACTCTGTGACCATCACAGACTTCCTCTTCTTTCGGACAATCATGCCAAAACTAGCCAAAAGCCAGTCGATTCTTATATTTATGGGCTTTTACTTTTTACGTTTATCAAATGTGTTTAAAAAAAAGTTGCTTTATTGGTTGCTCAGAATGATTACTGCTTTGCAAATTTGATACATTTTGTAGCTTCTGTTGTTTTTATTTGGGATCCCGATGCTTCAACAACTCCAGAGAGGAACATTTCACACAAAAACCATCCACATTGTTGCGTATTTCTATACAGGTCTGTAGGCTATATTAAACAGTTGTAATAAAATATATTGCGAAAGGGAAACCATGTTTTTGTGGCGTTTTACAATAATGCAAATTGCAATCGTTCTTGTTTTCGCGCATATTAATATTACAACGTCTCAAATTTTGTCCGCTTTTCAGATAGCAAAGATAATCAATTTTATTTGCTAATTATATAAAGATAGAATTACCCGAGTATCGTCATGCATATAACGATTAAATAAAAATATCAAATAAAAAGATTATTGTTACATAATAAAATGCGAACGTTATTTTATTTACAAAAGCGTATTACCGTCTGTGATTGACTAGAAACATATAGAAACGCGAGATTGAGTCGAGTTATAGGCTACTAACTGGTTACAGTCGTAGCCTAACACACAGCTGTTATCATAAGAAAGTATTTCTGCCTGATCTAACCTTTAAAGTGAACATGTTTGGTGCAACCTAATGTAGTCATATTGATTCAGCGATATTAAATCATATTTTCACTATCAATAAAACAAGTTCATTTAAATAGCATAATTTTAGCTGACAAAACATGTTTACAGTAACATATACTTTATTAAACGCTGGCCATTTAATTTGACCTTTCAAAAGACCACAGGACAAAAAAAAAAAGGCTGATATTTGTTGACAAATTATCAAGACTAAACCATTTCTTTTACTTCAGAATTAGATCAGGCTTTTACCAGTCGTGTTTTGGAGAGGTAGCTGGTTTAATTGGCTGGAATGGGAGTTCGGGGTGGGCAGGAGTTTGGGGTTAAGTAAGAGGTGCGCACTGAATTGAACAAATAGCCTGGGGCACAAGAAAAAGTTCATGCCCGGGTCCCTGTAAGGAGAAACCAGTGAAGAATCAACTAGTCCATGGTCACTTAATCAGAGCGACCTGCGGGGGATTAGGAAGATATTGTGACCGCAACTTGGCCTCACAATTATCATTCACAATGTTGTGTGCCTCCGCCAATCTTCTTTTCATAAAGGATGCATGGCCGTCGTATATTTAACAATAGGGCGGATGTTGGTGTTTGGGTTTTTACATCGAAATAATACGCGCGTGGTCCACAATATGAGTAAACATTCACTTTTTCACTTTTAGGCCACTTTAAGGAGCTTGAAGAGAAATTAAAATAATTAAAAAAAAAAAAAGTAATTATAAATAAAAACAATTTCTTGTAATTTGACTTTTTTTTTTAAATGAATGCAAATAATGGTAAGACTATTTTAAACTATTTCTCCAGAGGAGAACTGGCCTAATTTCTGGCAATATTGTCGGCTTGATTGCTCTGACACATTGGAAGAGAGCTGAACTGGATGATGACATTACTTAATCATCAATGAACTGACTTTAACTGAAAAATAGACTCTTTATTATTGTCCTCTTGCATTATTGACAAACTATTTTCCTGTTTGATACTGTAAAGCTGCTTTGTTTAAAGCGCTATAAAGGTGACTTGACAATCCGTTAAATCCTTAATGCCACATAAATGGCATGTAAGTTTAGGGTATTACTTTGGAAGTAAAGCATTTCATGAAGACACCGTTTTTATTGGCATGCCATAAAACAGCGCGGAGGCGCTAAGGTGAAGGATGGCATGTTTCTCACTAGTTTGAGCAGTGCTGACACATGTGAGCTGTTTTGCTTTACCCATTTGTTTCTCAGGGCTTTTAATCTCGCTCGCACTTGGAGCAAACTCTCGCACCTCGGCTCTTTCTCCAGTGTCTTAACTTGCTTAACTCCAGCATAATGAGCTCTGTGCCCGGATGATGGGCTTTGATCCGCTCACCGGTGTTGATTGAGACCGTTAACTAACAGCCAGTGTTAATGAAGAACTAGCATTACGACTAAAAAACGCAGGAAGCCGGAGATTATTTACACTAATTCACATATTGATTATTTGAAAACAAATGTTCTCCAAAGCTTCTAATGGACTGGTGCGAAATACAAGTCATTAAAATTAATTATTAGCACTTGTTTGCACTATGGCTGGATTGAAGCTTGTTTTAAATGTTTATGTATAAATTAATTAGGCTAATCCAATAATCATATATATAATAGAGTTAGATTGTTCAGATACAAATCTGATATTATTTATAAACAAACGTTTCTAATGTTGTATTATAATCATTAAAGTATTTTCAATCTGGTGCGTATCCGCGCTGGCTAGTTTGTGGAGAGCATGGTTCTTTAAGGTCTGGAGAAGTGTGTGTTTGGCTAGGGTGGGCTGGGACGTCCCGACACCTCTCGTCTTTCTTCAACCTTGTGTGTGGCCGCTCGCTTTGCACGGCCCGACCTCCCATTGGACAACTTAGATGTTATTGGGAGGAGTCTTACTGGCAGCAAAAGGGGAAAAGAATTGAAGTGCGCAAAAGTATTATGTAGTGACCGATGCTTAGCGTTCAGAAGTTTTCCAATGCGCGCTCCGACAGACAGAGGTGGCCAGTACGCGAGTCCAATACTATAGTCACATTTTATAAATACGGTGGCAGAGCGCGGACACTCGGTTGGACTGCCTTCCCAGTTTCAGAGGAGGCGCATTTCAAGCGGATTTGTGGATTGCGTTAGACTTCTTGACGTCTGTTCTTCGCCAGCACCGTTTGGAGAGAAGTCATGCAGGCGCGCTATTCCGCCCGCTCTCTCAGCCTGGACAGCGCCGGCGAGCAGCAGCATCACCACCAGGGCCAGGCCCCCGCGCAGGGCTTCAGCGTGGATAACATCATGACCTCCCTCCGCGGCTCGCCTCAGAGCTCCGGCGAGCTCACCCCGTCTCTCGTGGCGCCCTCACGGACAGGTATAACTCCCACGTTGTCCCTGAACTATTCTCCCAATCAGACGTCTGCGTACAGCTCGCCCTGCAGCCAGAACTCTATCTCGACTACCTCCAACGCCACCTATCATTGCAACATGCAGGCCATGAGCTTGTACGCGGGCGGGGATCGCTCGGGCCACTTGGCCACCACTACCACCGTGGACGAAACTCCGCCAGATTACTCGATCACGACTACCACGTCGCCCCTAAGCCACGGGAATCCTCAGGAGGGCCACCATGCACACCAAGGGCGCCTCGCCTCATGGTACCTAAACCAGGCCGGAGACATTGGCCATCTAGGCCCCACGTCCCCGGCGCAGCAGCAGAACTTCCATTCGGTTCGTTAAAACCGAGAACGGCACGTCCACGCCGCCGCAGTCTGTTTCGCCCACACTAAGATCTGTTCCCAAGATTGAGAGCCCCGACAGCAGCAGCAGCATGTCCAGCGGCAGCCCGCACAGCATCCCGTCCACCCGCTCTCTCAGCCTGGACAGCGCCGGCGAGCAGCAGCATCACCACCAGGGCCAGGCCCCCGCGCAGGGCTTCAGCGTGGATAACATCATGACCTCCCTCCGCGGCTCGCCCCAGAGCTCCGGCGAGCTCACCCCGTCTCTCGTGGCCTCCTCACGGACAGGTATAACTCCCATGTTGTCCCTGAACTATTCTCCCAATCAGACGTCCGTGTATAGCTCGCCCTGCAGCCAGAACTCGATCTCGACTACCTCCAACGCCACCTATCATTGCAACATGCAGGCCATGAGCTTGTACGCGGGCGGGGATCGCTCGGGCCACTTGGCCACCACTACCACCGTGGACGAAACTCCGCCAGATTACTCGATCACGACTACCACGTCGCCCCTAAGCCACGGGAATCCTCAGGAGGGCCACCATGCACACCAAGGGCGCCTCGCCTCATGGTACCTAAACCAGGCCGGAGACATTGGCCATCTAGGCCCCACGTACCCGGCGCAGCAGCAGAACTTCCATTCGGTTCGAGAGATGTTTGAATCGCAGAGAATCGGTCTGAATAATTCACCGGTTAACGGGAATAACAGCTGTCAGATGTCGTTTCCTCCGAGTCAGCCTATATACCGCACGTCGGGGGCTTTTGTGTATGACTGCAGCAAGTTTTGACCAAACAAGTATTTTTCGTTCTTCTTCTTCGTTTTGTTGTTGATTTTGCCTTTTCACGATACCGAGAGACCTTGATAGTCTACTTACCGACTCTACCCCCGTGACGGACTGAACAGAAACCGAACACAAACGCGAGTCAGACACACTTGATCTCGGTTTGTTAAGGACAGTGTTACTTCGAATAACACGTAAGTCTTCTTCGTTTTTGTGAGCTATATGCTGGGCTGTGTTGACTTGCGTCAGACGTTTATGGACTTGTTATTACGTGTAAATTGCATATAGTAATTTATTTCTAAAGTGTAGCCGGATATTATGGACCAAACACCAAAAAGTGTTTCTAAGTTGAATTGCATTCATTGTCCAAATGTTCCACTATAACAAGGAACGTAACATGTATAACGCCATATTCTTTCAAATTATCTCCTTTTGTTGAAAAAGTATTCTGAAGGAACTGCATTGTTTGTTTAATAAATTGCCATGCTATTTGAGTTAAAATTAGGCTACGCCTGATTTCTTAAACCCCTGTCAGGAACAGAACTGCGTGCTAGAGTAATAACACATTTAGAGCACAACAGCTTGAAGAAAGTGCTAATTACCTGCATAACTGATCCAAATAAGAGGGTCGAAATTATTCGGCTTTGCTGTGGCACAGTTGAACGTTTCTTGATGCAAACGTTCGTCTAATCCTAAAATGCACCAAGAAACGAATAAATATGCTCTGATCATGCACGCTGAATGAAAATAATCACAGGCCCTTTTCAGCATTTTATGGAACCGTGCAATACTAAATATGCATTCATCAGTTTGGGATTTGTTTCTTTTTCTTTTTGTAATGAAATGCTAGCTTCTAGGTTTTAGTCATTTTATCATTACTCATTACATATCGTTGTTTAGCAAAATGTAGCAACATTTTACGCTTATGTTGTTTATACTAAATCGATATATTGAATATAAAATAAGAAATATCACGTGATTGAATTCAATTGAAATTCTCAAGAATATACGGCCCGCAATTAAGTTAGGCGGAATTCTAATCTTATTATTCTTCTTATCAGAATTATTATTATCATTATTGTTATTATATGTAGTAGTAGCTATAAAAAAATGCTAATTTGTAAGTTAAAATGTGGTTAATTTAGTAGCATCTAATTTGTCTGGTTTTAAGTCAAAACATTATTTAATGTGATTCTAGAAAAAAAATCATTTTGAAGGTTTAGACCAGACACAGCTCGTTAAATAGCAACTGCAGATTTTGTTTTTACAGAGCAGTAGCAGTGATAGTAATAAAATAAATATTGCCATGCAATTTATATTTTAATTGCTGTGAGGTGACGACGTGTTTTGCTATAATTTGTTCTTACGCAACTCTATATGCAGACTTGGACTGTCTGTCATCACCGTGACCTGAGGCGGTGTTTCGGTCATTGTATTTCAGCGCTTGTGTTCAGTGTCCACGTGTTTACTCGCGCATAGCTGACTGCAGCAAGTTTTGACCAAACAAGTATTTTTCGTTCTTCTTCTTCGTTTTGTTGTTGATTTTGCCTTTTCACGATACCGAGAGACCTTGATAGTCTACTTACCGACTCTACCCCCGTGACGGACTGAACAGAAACCGAACACAAACGCGAGTCAGACACACTTGATCTCGGTTTGTTAAGGACAGTGTTACTTCGAATAACACGTAAGTCTTCTTCGTTTTTGTGAGCTATATGCTGGGCTGTGTTGACTTGCGTCAGACGTTTATGGACTTGTTATTACGTGTAAATTGCATATAGTAATTTATTTCTAAAGTGTAGCCGGATATTATGGACCAAACACCAAAAAGTGTTTCTAAATTGAACTGCATTCATTGTCCAAATGTTCCACTATAACAAGGAACGGAACGTGTATAACGCCATATTCTTTCAAATGATCTCCTTTTGTTGAAAAAGTATTCTGAAGGAACTGCATTGTTTGTTTAATAAATTGCCATGCTATTTGAGTTAAAATTAGGCTACGCCTGATTTCTTAAACCCCTGTCAGGAACAGAACTGCGTGCTAGAGTAATAACACATTTAGAGCACAACAGCTTGAAGAAAGTGCTAATTACCTGCATAACTGATCCAAATAAGAGGGTCGAAATTATTCGGCTTTGCTGTGGCACAGTTGAACGTTTCTTGATGCAAACGTTCGTCTAATCCTAAAATGCACCAAGAAACGAATAAATATGCTCTGATCATGCACGCTGAATGAAAATAATCACAGGCCCTTTTCAGCATTTTATGGAACCGTGCAATACTAAATATGCATTCATCAGTTTGGGATTTGTTTCTTTTTCTTTTTGTAATGAAATGCTAGCTTCTAGGTTTTAGTCATTTTATCATTACTCATTACATATCGTTGTTTAGCAAAATGTAGCAACATTTTACGCTTATGTTGTTTATACTAAATCGATATATTGAATATAAAATAAGAAATATCACGTGATTGAATTCAATTGAAATTCTCAAGAATATACGGCCCGCAATTAAGTTAGGCGGAATTCTAATCTTATTATTCTTCTTATCAGAATTATTATTATCATTATTGTTATTATATGTAGTAGTAGCTATAAAAAAATGCTAATTTGTAAGTTAAAATGTGGTTAATTTAGTAGCATCTAATTTGTCTGGTTTTAAGTCAAAACATTATTTAATGTGATTCTAGAAAAAAATCATTTTGAAGGTTTAGACCAGGCACAGCTCGTTAAATAGCAACTGCAGATTTTGTTTTTACAGAGCAGTAGCAGTGGTAGTAATAAAATAAATGTTGCCATGCAATTTATATTTTAATTGCTGTGAGGTGACGACGTGTTTTGCTATAATTTGTTCTTACGCAACTCTATATGCAGACTTGGACTGTCTGTCATCACCGTGACCTGAGGCGCTGTTTCGGTCATTGTATTTCAGCGCTTGTGTTCAGTGTCCACGTGTTTACTCGCGCATAGCTTGGTTAATATCATACCAGACATGCCAAAGATACTCAAATCACCACTAGAGG